ATCGTTTTTGGAGTGATAAACCTAAGAACATTGGTTACTTAAGTATAGATCTAAACCATAATCCTAATAGAAATTAAGGTCTAGCAGATATTGCGAAAGTTTTAAGAACAGATGAAATTTTTTGCTGAAATTAACATAGTAACATATTTTTTTGTGTTTGTTTGATTACATTAATGTGTTTGTTTGATAGTGCACTTATTTCAACAATTATTGAAGCAGTTGTTGAGTTAGATACTTACTTCCCGAATGCAAAACATTTACACTAAATCTATACTTCTATACTATCTATACTTCTATACTATAATATTATAAATGCGAAAGTAACTCTGTCTGTCTGTCTCGCTTTCACGCCTAAACTACTGAACCAATTTTGATGAAAGTTTGAGTCCCGGGAAAAGACATAGAATAGTTTTTATCTCGGTTTTTGAAACAGGGACGCGCGCGATAATTTTTTTCTGTAACAGATTAAATACCACGCGGGCGAAGCCGCGGCCGGAAAGCTAGTATTTTATGTATAACAAAATAAGACTATATCCAATCATAAAACGTTAACTTAATAATATTATTCCGTGCTGTATAATGCATAATCCTTGATACAAATCCAAGACGCTCTCCGTGATCCGTGATAATGCGATGTGCACGCGGTGGCGCGGCGCCGCCTCTCGAGCGTGCCAGACGGAGCCGTAGCTTCGTAGCTTCGTAGCACCGTAGCATCAGAGGCGGTAGCTTCACTTGTTTTGAAATTTAAAGATGCGGTATTTTTTTAAATAAATAATTGTCTATGTTATTGCTATGTGCACGCGTGGCGCGGCGCCGTCTCTCGAGCGTGCCAGACGGAGCCGTAGCGCCGTAGCACTGTAGCATCGAAAACGGTAGCTTCACTTGTTTTGAAATTTAAAGATGCGGTATTTTTAAAAATAAATAATTGTCTATGTTATTGCTATGTGCACGCGTGGCGCGGCGCCGCCGCTCGAGCGTGCCAGACAGAGCCGTAGCTTCGTAGCGCCGTAGCACCGTAGCATCGGAGACGGTAGCTTCACTTGTTTTGAAATTTAAAGATGCGGTATTTTTTTAAATAAATAATTGTCTATGTTATTGCTATGTGCACGCGGTGGCGCGGCGCCGTCTCTCGAGCGTGCCAGACGGAGCCGTAGCTTCGTAGCTTCGTAGCGCCGTAGCATCGGAGACGGTAGCTTCACTTGTTTTGAAATTTAAAGATGCGGTATTTTTTTTAATAAATAATTGTCTATGTTATTGCTATGTGCACGCGTGGCGCGGCGCCGCCGCTCGAGCGTGCCAGACAGAGCCGTAGCTTCGTAGCGCCGTAGCACCGTAGCATCGGAGACGGTAGCTTCACTTGTTTTGAAATTTAAAGATGCGGTATTTTTTTAAATAAATAATTGTCTATGTTATTGCTATGTGCACGCGGTGGCGCGGCGCCGTCTCTCGAGCGTGCCAGACGGAGCCGTAGCTTCGTAGCTTCGTAGCACCGTAGCATCGGAGACGGTAACTTCACTTGTTTTGAAAAAAGATGTGGTAATTTATTTGAATAAATAATAATTAGGTAGAGTTGTGTTGAAGTTTACGTAAGTGACCTATCTGTATTCGGCTAAATAAATACATCGCAAATTGGTTACATCCTGAGGCTCGTAACGCTTACACGCTTTAACGCTTACGCTCGTAGCACAATCTTTGACTTAGTTAATCGTTCACCAAATATTGGGGTAGTTTTGGTATTTTGAAGAGTAGCATATTGGGCAACGCGTTGCAGTAATGTAGCCTCGTAGCCTCGTAGCCTCGTAGCCTCGTAGCATCGTAGCATCGTAACGTTGAAAGTAGTCTCAGCAAGAAAGTAAAGTTATTTATTTATTATTTATTTATTGAAAAAGATACACCAACGACATATATAACTTTACATATAACAATAATACAGTGTTGAGTAGGTACAATATTAAAATATATGCCTTTACAGGTGGATACATCATTTCCCATTATCGAACGTTGACTCGAGTTTAAAGTAGGACATTAAGTGTGTGTGTGTGACACCATGTAACCTTTATATTATGCATAGTATATCGTCTTAATAGTAATAATATAATTTTTGCTATAGACTGGTACAATTTCTACAGTTTCTGGAAACGTAATTAACAAACTTTTACTGAAATTATTTTGATCTATGTAGCTAAATTTTAATGTGGCAATATCAAATCTACAACACTGATTAAAAAGTTAACTGTTACTGTAATCTTATCATCTGTTTCAAAACAATTTTAACTCGCCACATAATCGAATCCTAACCCGCTACCGTTCCACCACTCGTCCTCGCGTTTCGATTCGAAATAAATGGCGTTTCGTTCGCTTCAGATTTGCTAATTAATTATTAAAGTCGGATATGCAAAGTTTGTTGTCTCTTATTTTGTTGATTTAACTCTAGAACCCGTTCCCGCAAGAATTAGAAATTCAGATTGGAAATTTTCATATTTCGCGATGTCGGAACGGTATGGAAATTCGTAGATATGATTAACTTATTATGAAATTAATCTTTGATATTCGTAAAGTCTCAAAGTCTCGTTGTTTCGTGTTTCTATTAATTTATTCACTAACTAAGTTTAAAGTTCACGTTTGGATTAATAAAGAAAGAAATTACGCAGTAATCAATGTCATAAGAAGCAACAGTGTTTGATTAAAAAAATATTAAGATTTGTTTTATCGCTACACTAAGGCCCAGAACAGACGGTGAAACGCAACTGCAACGAAACTCCAACTGCTAGTTACTTTTGAGTTGCATTTAAGTTTCTGCCATAGCGTCCGTTGAGAGACCACCCATGACGCGACCAGTTTGAAACTTTCAGTTTCAGTTTCATTCATTAGAATCATCAGAAACTTGCAGTTTCGTTGCAGTTGCGTTTCATCGTCTGTTCTGGGCCTAGGTCATGTGTGGTCTCTCAACGGACGCTATGGCAGAAACTTAGATGCAACTCAAAAGTAACTAGCAGTTGCAGTTTCGTTGCAGTTGCGTTTCACCGTCTGTACTGGGCCTTACACGTAAAAACTACTCAATTATTTTGACTTTTGAATTATTTTGGTTTAAAAAAAACATCCTTACAGATCGAGTCAAGTAATGATAAGTAAGATTCCCAAAATCGACTACAAACAATACATAGATACCACACAAGTAACATCTACAAAACCTGCCACAAAATGATCCTTGTGTGTACATCCGTAAGGCATACTTTGCTAGTGGCTTGGTGACTGAAACGCCCAATTTTCCTATCTATATAGAAATAAATGGAGGCTCTGTTGTCTGTTTGTGATCGACGTTGATTAATGTCAGTCTCGGATTAAAAAAACTTCGTGTTTCAGCGACATGGAGGACAAGAAATGGAATGGAGTCGAAAAAAATTGTTTGGGACAAAAATCTAAAATTGATCTGACTCGATTGGATGGAATTGATCTAATTAAGTAATTAATAGCTCCCAAGCTGGATGCTAATGAAATGGAAAAAACAAATCAATCTTTAGTGCTTTATAAACTAATCTTAATTAAACTAACTTGATTTAAGCATTTTTCCAATAATAAACATTTTAGCATAATATACATACGAGCTTTTATTCGCTAATGTTCATAATTTAAAACCTTATCTTCATTATGGATAATGCACCTTTTAAACTGGTGAAGCGTTCTTGAGGATCCACTTATTGTAAATAAACTTGCAAATCTGCCTTTTATAATATTGGTTTAGTAGATTCGTCATTTTTCTTTCTCGCTGGAAATTTTGTATTCCCAAAAACTTTGACGAATATGCCCCTCTATTCGCTCCACTACTCTAACGACATTTGATTTTGGTGACATCTGGCGGAAATAATGGATTTTTTTCAGTTAGCTGAAGGTGAAAATTTAATCTATGACGATAAGTGACGACCGAAAAAAGATTTAACGGGTATTCTTTGCGGCTTCAGGGAATTTTTGGGGTGACAAATAACGTAGAAGCATAATAATTGTAATGACAAATAATATAACGCAACTTGAGACTTTGGTCCTTTCTCATCTCAGGATGCTACCGAAAAAATGGTCAACAAACAAAAATACGTACGAGTACAAGTTAAATAGGCACAAGATAATATAAAAATAATATACTTTTTTAAATTAATACATTATTTTGATACGTTCGAACAAAAGTTGATAATTTTCTATGGTTAAAAATGATTAGACTTTTTTTTTCTTGAATCTATTAATTAAAAAAAACATTGCTTCAACTACACATTTCGTTAGTGTGAGTAGATTTTAAATTTAACAATGATGAATTCTACGAGTTTTCGTGTGCCAGTCTGTAAATAAAATTGGCGATGCCTATCACCCTTTTGGAACGGGTTTTCGCTAACGCAGTTATGGTAATGACTTGACAAGATTACAAAAATAACGATTTTTTGCCAGTTTTAGAGCAAAATGGCATGAAATTGTCGGAAAGGAAATAAATTCATTCGTTATTATTACCGCTTTCATGATTATGTAATCGATTATAAATAAACATTGAATAGTGTAAAAGTGCTTTTTAACAGCCTACTTGCATAAACAATTGGTTTTTTTAGGAGTTTTATGTCAGTCACAGAAAAACTTCATCGCGCGCGTCCCTGTTTCAAAAACCGGGATAAAAACTATCCTATGTAAGAACTCAAACTATCTTTGTGCCAAATTTCACCAAAATCGGTTCAGTGATTTAGGCGTGAAAGCAAGACAGACAGACAGAGTTACTTTCGCATTTATAATATTAGTATAGTATAGATATCACTAAATCAAAGTAAGTATTAAAGTATTTATTTGTATGAACGAAGGTTACAAGAGTTCTTTTAAAAGACTTTGTAAAACACCCTTTTCAAGTTATGCCCGAGCGTTAACTGTGATTACCCCGGCCTCGTCGCTAAAGTGCGCGTTCGTGCCTATTACAATCTATGAACGAGCTGTCTCTCCCCGCGACCCCGCGCGAACCGTTAGTCGTGCCTCGCGCGCCGAGGTGACCGGTAGTGTGACTCGTCGCAGGATTTCGAAGTTCTCGAGGTAAGAATTTGATTACCCTGACCTTGGTTCCAGTGAACGATCCTGTTTTTTTTATGTATCTTTATATGGAAAGTTTATTGTGGATGTACATAAATAATGGTCCATGTAACCGCATTTTTGTGTATTAAAACATTTGGGATTAAACTTACAGATTGGGCAGGGCTCAGCATATTGATCGCTCGGAACAAACTCCCCGCACCCCGCGCTTGCTTGCCGCGACAAGCGGTTATCGCGTCATTTTATCGTCGGCCGTTTGGTGTAGTGGTTCTAAAACGGGCTACTATGCCGAGAGGTCCCGGGTTCGATTCCCGGCCGGGCAGATATTGAAATGATGAATTTTAATTTCTGTGACGGGTCTGGGTGTTACTATGTACAATAATTATGTACCTATATTGTATTAAAAAAGTATAATACATCCGTTAAGCTAGCACCCATAAAACAAGCATGTTAATTGCTTACTTTGCTGTGCTTAAGCGCTGTTTGAAATTGTCCAAAGATATTTATTTATTTATTTTATCGATTTTGCCCATACATTTTGGCGCCGATTAAAGTTATCACGGCGCGCAACCTATCCCGGTTGGTCCGACTTGAAAGATTATTTTTGTGTGGAATAGCCCATTTATTGAGGAAGGCTTTAGGCTATATAACATTGCCCCACAGCTAATAGGGGTGGAACTGTAAAGAATAATGTTGCAAAAACGGGAAATAGTTTATATTACTCACACTACATTTTGAAATTATGTACCATTTATTTCAGAATAACATCATGCCGCTCTCTAAAGAAGAAAAATTGAAAAAAAGAAGAGAAGCAGCAAGAAGGAGAATGAATCAAATAAAAAATGATCCAGACTTATATGCTCAATGGCAACAAAAACAGCATGAAAGATACGAAACGAAGAAAAAACGCGGTAAAATATTACCTATCAGCCAATTACCACCAAAACTTCAAAAACTAAAAAGAAATAAAAGTAGGGAAAGTTCAAATAGATACAACAGAAAGAAAAAAGTACAAGCTATAACCAAGCTCAACAATGAACGACAGATGGATATTGATATTTCTCCTAACTCTAGTGATAATGAGGATCCTTTATCACTTTCTCCTGATAATGTGGCTGCGTCTAATCCCAAACCATCACCAAAGTCAAAAAGCGTCACAGATACACCGCAGCGCAAAACAAGATCAAAGAAAAATAAATTACACCAGGATAAACGAGACAATGAAAATGCTGACATCTACAGACCAGTAACTAGTTTACCTATAGCATCAAACACTACAAAAAAATATCCTGAGGCTTCTACTAGCACGCCTAGACAAGTTCCACCATTATTGAAGATAAACAAACACAAGACCCCCAAAAAATCCGTGATCCATTGAATTCAGCAACACTAGCATCTTAAAGTCAGTTATTAATGAAATTAATAAGATAAAATTTTATGTATTAAATAGGGGGTGTTATAACACTTTAAACTTATTATAAATATTCATGTATGATTTGTGGCAAGCCAGTTTACAAATAGACGTAAATAGCAAACAGACCTTGTTTCATTTTATCATTCGCGACTGTTCGGAATCACCACACCAAGCAGCAGCGATCAGTCTTTTATTTCATCACCGGCAAGAATCCTGAGTCCAAAAGCTGCATCTAAACGAAAAATTAAAAAAATAGATCTCCTTGAAAATAACTTTTAAAGGATCACAAATACAGAGCCAATAAAGAATTACAAATAAATGAACGTCAAATAATGAACTGAAAAAACTAAACGAATACTAGGTACATGAAATAAAAAGACTCCAGAAAGATAAAAAGGAATATTTAAATATTATGATGCGTAAAATTGCAGAAAAACATAAAAAATATAACTGAACACAAACAACAACGACGATACTACAAACCTCGATACAATAATTTTATGAAGAAGATGAGAATAGCATACAGGGCCCATAATGCCTGGAAAGAATAAAGCTCGCAAGGCTTAAAGACCAGAGATGGACCATAAAAGCGACCTTCTGGATAAGACCTCAAAGTAAAAGGAACAGGGGAAGACCCTGACACGCTTGGACGACGAGATCAAAAGGACAGCCTGCCCTCACCTCGGCGCAACACCCTGCTAATCCACGCTAAATTTACGCATACGTATTGGCGCGCTCACATACAAACAGCGCTCGGTGCGTTTCTATGAAGATGACCTACTCATTTGTATTTACTCTGTGAAAACATTATGTTGCAATCCTCGAAATTGAGACTGCCTTTCAATGTATTATTTATTTATTCAACCATATATTTCTCATTTTAATTGGCTAATTCTGAAGAATACATCAGATGCTTAAAATAAATGTTACCGATTATTGCATCGGAACGGAACAATCATAAATAAGTACCTAATTGCCAAAAAAGTGTACATTTTTCATGTCCAACATTACGAGTACTTAACACTCCGAAGAATACAACGGATATTATTATCATTAAAAATAGAATAAACAAACAATGCACTAACATCTCGTTCGTCACAAATGACTCACTTTCACTTTTTGTTCGATTGTAAATAAATAGGTACGTAATTTTACTTTCATTTTGCACATCATTTTCATCGTCCCAGTAGATTATTCGCCTCGATCGTTTTGCTTGCAATTTACGGTCATATTTTTTCAGCACAGCGTAGGACGTCCACCCACGAGATGGACCGACGACCTCATAAACGTAGCAGGAAGGCGCTGGATGCAGGCTGCCACCCACCGGCCATTGTGGAAATCTTGGGGGAGGCCTGTGTTCAACAGTGGACGTCCTGTGGCTGAAATTATGATGATGATGATGAGTCAGTTTTTACTGACTTAACAAAAAAATCTTAAGTGGCTTAACTTTAACTAATATGGTATAGTTATAATGGCACTAGTATACAGATTGATGCGTACAACAATATTTCATCAATAAAACATAGCAACAATACGATCACGTATGTGAATCGATTTGAACATAGATTCATACTCCGACAATATGCATAGTTACTAAGACGCGAACCAAATGCCGTACCTAGTTTCGTCCTAAAGCATTGTTATGTGGCAACTGCCAAGAGGCCAGACGGAGGAATGTGATCGATCAGGGACTCACTACCGAACCACTCGATATTTGTATTTAGAAATAGAGTAATGTGAGTGAATAGGAAAATCATTTTTCTCCTTAGTAACATCTCATAAAGGTAGCAAGAAGGCGCAGGATGCAGACTGCTAGCAACCGGCTAATCTGGAAATAATTGCGAGAAGCCTATGTTCAACAGTGAACATTCTGTGACTGAAATGATAATGATGATGAACTTCATGGAACTGGAATGAAATTATGTGGGACAAAGTAGATTATGTAACAGCGAGACCTGTTACATAATCTACTTTGTCATTTCATAATCTACGTTTCATGTGTAACGTGTTCATGATATTGATTTTATTTGACTCTAGTAAAAACATACTCTAAATACTTAGTGTAAAATCTTAATACTTCATACATCAAATCACTGGATACATGGGTAATTTATTGAATTATTTGTTATTATTAGGCTGGGTTGCACCATCTTACTTTAACCGTAACTATAACAATAACCGGTGCATTTTGTATGGATTTTGACAGATTTTTGACGTTTGTTAAAGTTTATAAGATGATGCAACTCAGCCTCAGTTTTTTCAAATACATTGCCAATAACCCGATTAGAATCTTCATTCCTTCCATTGAGTATTTAGTATTCTTTTCATTAATTTGTTGGGTTTTTATGGCGGTCAAGCTGTAGATCCTGGCTACACAGGAGTTGCAGTGGTGGGAACCAGAGGTGGGAATAGTCACGTTTTCCATTGAGTATCTGACACAATTTATCGAGCACTACCAAGATAGTCCCCGTCGCGGCGCTCCCGCAGTTCGCGCCAAGTTTGTAACGCCCTAACTGCTCAAGAATTTGCGAACTGCTGTTTGATGACTGCTTGTTGTCTGGGGGGTAGTTCTTAGGGAAAATTCATTTCAATGTGTGCAAGGAAATGTTTTAGGTAAGTACATTGTAATATAATTATTGTTAAAAAATCGTAAAGTTGGATCTGAAGAAATCGGAGAGTAATTTTAAGATAATAGCTTGAGAGCTGTTTCAATTTTTTCTAAATGTACCAATTTACTGTACCTAAAGTGTACTTAATTGTGCCATTACTTATTATGTAGTACAGTAGAACAGTTCTTATACTGTTAACTTTAAAATCAGACCATTTTGCTATATAGTATGACTACGAACGCAAGTTTTTTAGGATCCCTCCATATCGATTTTCATATTATACTTTTAAGAAAATACTCGTATTTGTAAGTGTTCAATAAATATTAATGACTTTATAACAAAGGTCTTAGCAGTCGTTTCAAGGTTACCCAGATACTTCGGGCCCCTTCAGCCAACCGCACGGGCGTTATCGAATAAGACGCACGCCTCCATACACACGAAGACTTCGAGCAGTTATGAGGAGATGGTAGACCCCTCTCAATAATGTGCACTGACTTTTACAGACTACGGCATATTGGAAGTTATATTAAAGCTATCTAAATGTAGCCATATGTAATTTCATTTTTAGTTGTTAAATAAATGAAAAAGTAGTAATTGCAAAAGGAGCTATTTTGCATTATAATACTAGTTTTAGCCAGCGTGAAATTCAGTATGTCACAGATCGTTGTAAGATTATAGAGGTAATATGTTATTTTGATGAATAAACAATACTTTACTACAAGTTTCATCAAAATCCCTTCGGTACTTTTTGCGTGATAAACATCCATATAAACTTTCGCGTTCATAATATAAGTCCGATGTGCGGTCTACTGTACTCTTCATATTCGTTCGTTTCAGCCGAATGACGTCCACTGCTGTTCATGTTACGTTTCAAGAAAATTGAGCATCAAAATTTTTTGCAACTCTGAATGCAACAAAGAGTTTCTGTTGCAAAACAGCATTTACTTACATCTACCTACAATAATATGACACAGTGTCGATGTTGATGAATTTTTAATACCTACTACTTAAGTAAGCATACTAGATTTCATACATATCATTACCGTAAAAGGTCGCTCCCTCCACCGAAATCATCCAAATGCGCCCTAAATTTCTAAAACTAAAACTAAAAATAGATCCTGATCACTGTCAAGTCAGTTTAATTCAATTTCCCTGCACGCACAAAGCACCGGAGGCCCATTCATCCCGGGCACGTAGGGTAATGTATATTCTAATATATTTGCTGGGAGCGACTTTTCGTGTCCACCCGGCCGTGCGGTCTGCGGTCGGACGTAGGGATGGTGGTGGATACAGGTGGGACAGTTTTATCGATGAAATATGCTGTCGTCAGACTTAAGATATCTAACACCTCTGTGAAATGCATCTCTATTTTAATAGTAAAATCATGGTCCACATTCGTTTTCCAGCCGCGTCATAAGACAAAAATGTAAATGGAATGAAAACACCATGAAACGGAGTGAAAAATAAGACTTTATATGCCTTAAATAGTTATAATAACCGAAAAACAGTAACAGAATAAAGAAAATAGGTTTCTTATATGTATAAGGATTACACCTAACTGAAGAAACAACGACAATACGAAAATCCTCACGAAATGAAGAACATTTAGTCAATTTATGAATAAATTAAGATTACTCGTATAAGTAAACGTTATCGATACCACATTACATAAGTAAAACTCGTGCCCAACACTATTTGACCTCGTATTTACTCTGTGCCTCGCCAGTTCATCTTCATTTTTTATCTCTTTTGCCGGAAAAGGCAAAAAAGCACGGAACCGCTCTAGTAATGAGTGAAAAAAAATCCCGAACGAGAAATATCGTCATTTCTTCGGAAATGTACAGTAATATCTGCCGAGCCTTATGGAATTGAGACGGGTTTCTTTTAAAGAATTGTATTTTAAGGCAGATAATAATTTTTGGTCCATGATCAGTACTACTTCTACCTACTTTAGGGTAATAGTTTTATGTCGTTATTTTTAAGATCTATTAACTTTTTTTTTTTGTAAACTCGTTCTCTTTGTTCGATTACTACAAGCATAGTATGTGTGTATGCTTAGTTTTAGAAAAATATTCTTTCGTTTTAGCCTAATGACGCCTACTGCTGGACAAAGGCCTCCAACAAATTAAAAAAAAATGCGTTTTTATTTAATTAATTCTTAAATCTCTACCTGGGCAGAAATCGTTTATTTCATTTCTCAGATTTTAGATAAGTAGCTTATTCAGCTTCTTAATTTATTAAACATAGAGTCAAAATTAAGTTCTGTGAATGTGTTAATAATCAGGATTCTATAAGTATAAAAGATACAAGACATAATACAACTCTAACAATTAAGAAACAATCTGGTTTGTCCGTCCAACAATTGATTAGTCCGAAATATAATTGGATGGAGACAATCCAGTCCTGTTATAAGACAATTTGCCCGCTTCCAACTGGAATCTTGGAATCCCTTCCAGGGACCCGCAAATTGAGGGTAGTACTGTTCGGATTCGGGACTGCCCCCGTACTCACATTGGCTACGTTATAATCTTGGTTCTACCGTCAAAAACAATGTCAATTTTAAATAATTTTTACTTGTAATTATTAAACCTGAGTGTATTTTTCATACATTTTGTGAAACATGACAAACAAGGAGCTTTTTTTATCAATTAATTAGGTAGGTATGTCAAGTGAAAATACTAACTAACTAATATGCCCTAAATAGTTATAATAACCGAAAAACTGTAACAGAATAAAGAAAATAGGCTTCTTATATTTCAAAACTTTTTTTACTCATTTACTACCAAAATTAAAATGAACATGCCCCAGTAACTTCAGTGCTCCAGTGCTCACAACAATAAAAAACGAGCATCAAACTAATTAAGATACAAACGCTTCTCGAAATCCCAACAATCTATATCTATATCTATTATATAAAAGAAAGTCGTGTTAGTTACTCCACTTATAACTCAAGAACGGCTGAACCGATTCAGCTGAAAATTGTCAGGGAGGTAGTTTAGAGCCAGGAGAAGGACATAGGACACTTTTTATCCCGGTATTGATTGCCATTAAGGTGGAACAAAGTTCGCCGGGTCAGCTAGTATCTATATA